GCGACCTGATGTGAAGGCTCTCAGGGGATGGCCCAAGCCCTGCCCTCCCTGTCCGTCACACTTTGTCCTGAGCTGGCAGGATGACCCAGGACATGGTCCTTCCCAGCGCTTGCCAGGGGGCACCTGAGAGAGCGGATGAAAGCCTGCTCTCCTTGCACATCACAGCCACTGCTCTGTCGCATAAAACATTAAAGCATCGAGCTGCAGAGGCTCATTACCTTCTCTTTAGCGCTGAAGGAAACATATACAGCTTGATTCACTGGACCCAAGCACGGGTGTGGCCTGAAGAAGGGTCGGGAGCTCTGGGGAAGCTCAAGTCAGGTCTCTGCTATCGTACAGTGCTAGATCGACAGATAAGGCCCCATGGATGCCGGTGCCAGGAAGATGGCTCAGCAGCATACGTGCCTGCCGGGCAAGTGCAAGGTCCACAGTTTGATTCCTGGTACCAGAAAAAAAAAAAAAAAAAAAAAGCTACCCTGAGAATGCAGTAATTATGTCCAGGGACCCCAGGCACAGACAGAGAGGCAGACCTTTCTAGACTCTGTGAAATGGACCGACTGGAGAGTTGGGGAGCACTGTAGCAGCTACTGACATAGCGGAAGTAGAAATACAAGTTTGTAAATAAAAGATTAAAAAAAGAAACCTGAAGGGCCAGGGAGATAGCTTGGCAGTCTAAGGACTGCCTACCTGGCAAGTACAAGGACCCGGGTTCGATCCCAGGCACCACATGCCGTGCCGGTCCCCGAACACCGGCTGCACCATGCCAGCCACCAAAATTGGGTGTGGTGGGGCACATCTGTAATCCCAGCATCAGGGAGGCTAAGACAGGAGGATCACTGTGAGTCGGAGCCACATAGCAAGACCCTGTATCAAATAAAGAAAAGAATTTAAAAAAGAAGAAGAAAATACAAATTTGTGCCTCTTCTAGGACAGGAAGTGATTTTTTGGATAATTTCCAAAGCAATGTTGGTAATAAGAAAAAAAAAAAAAAGCAAGATTTCATACGTATTTATAGAGCTGCAAGGCCGTTTTAGAGAAAAAAGTATATATTTATAGTCTACTGATATTGATCCAGAGAGAGAACGAGAATGAAAGGCAAGCAAGGGGGAGGGAAGAAAGGAAGCGGGGTGTGGGTGCAGAGAGAGGTGGGCTTCGGTCAGAAGCGGAGGAGAGCGGGGGTGGAGGAGAACCCGGATGCAGCGGGGTGGGATGCGGGGAGGGCCGACCGGGCGCGCGGGGCTGCCTAATGTACATGGCAAGGGCTTCAGCCTGGCGCTGACCTCCCAGTACCGGTGCTTGTGTGGGCCACGCGGGAGCAGCTAGGTGTGCGCGTGCCCTCACTGGTGTGCAAGAGCCAGCCAATCACACGACGGCAACCAGAAAGGCCATGGATGGGGCCTGTGGGGAGATTAAAGTTTCTGATTTTAGAGGAAGCCATGCTTTCTGGGCTGAAATAAATGTTTTCCTTTACAGCAGATTAATAACTAAGTATCGAGGTAAAAAGCTCAAACTTAGTTTCACAGATTAACTTTGTGTCTTGCAAAAAACCCAGAAGAGCAGTTGCTCGTGTGTGTGTGTGTGTGTGTGTGTGTGTGTGTGTATGGCCTGTGTGCACTGGACATTTCTTTTCAAAACTTTGTAAGAACGTCACATAACCCCATTTCTCATCTGTAGTCGTCTTGGAGAGCACAAGAACAAAACACTTCCGAGACCCGGTTTTCAGAGGAGAGAATGTGCTTTCTGTTTGTGCATTTTGCACTGTGCTTTCTGGACTTACCACAGACTTGTTTTGTTTCCTATTTACAAAAGGTCAAGGTGAGCTATCTAAAGGATAGCTGGTGCCGCTCATCGTGGGGAAGACTTTCCTTCGGCCTATGCCTACGTTGGCCCTTTAATTTCTCCAAACATCAGTGTGAGGAACAGAATCACATCTGAAACACGGCTCTACTCTCCTCCCTCACCACCCAGAAGAGGAGGAGCTCCTGCAGCATGCAGTTCTCTCAGAAATAAGAACACTGCTTGCCTAATAAAAGTCGTGTCTAAGCTGCTGAATCCACCATGCCTTTGCTATTTCTGTAATGCCCAGCTTGCGTGTAGACCGAAAACTCCTCCTTATTCTCAGTGTAAAAACGATTCCCCATCGTACTCTGCAGCATATTTACTTGATTTGTAAATTGGGTCCAGGAAAGAGAAGCACACTCACAGCTTCCTAGTCGAGCCAAGCAGGCGAGAAGCGTGGGTGGGCGGGCGTTGGGCTAAGCACCATGGAGGAATTAGTGAGGGCACTGGATGGTTCACAAAATAATTTCAAAAGCGTTTCCCACATCCAGCCCCAACATGCAACATGCAGGCATGCAGATCTGCCTCGGTGTGGTGGACACAGAACGCTGGAGGGCCAGGTGGGCCAAGGGCGTTTGGGCGCCTTCCCGATGAAGCGGTGCAGCTGGGCTGAAGCGCCAGGGCTTCTCGTGCTCCTCGGCTGGGCTTTAATTCCTTTTTGGTGCTCATATGTGAGTGTGTTTGAGGCAAGAATGAGATGGGACGCAAATGGATTGGCTTGCCGTTCTCTGAGGCCCTAACCGCCCACTCTGTATACGCAAATCAGAAGCCCAGAACCCGTAAAGATACCTGTGAGTGTTGTCACAGCTCCTGACACCCTTGGAGGGGGCTGTGCCCAGGCCCATCGGCCCATCCTCCCTCCCGGCGACAGCACTCTGCAAGGTGCAAGTGGCCTCGCTTGGGTTTGTTTCTGGGCCCTCCTCCAGGATCCCGCCCCTGCTCTACTGGGCCCTGCTCTCCAGCCCCCCTTCCCAATTTAGACTAGAAATCATTTCCATGTCTGAGTAACTTCATAAGGGTTTGAAACAATGATAAATGATCATTTCAGTACCTACAAACTCACTTGAGAAAATTTTCATAAGCAAAACACTACCTTTGTTATTCATTTGTTATTATTCCACTGATCATTAAAAGACTTGTTATTAATATGCCCGTATCTGCAAAGTACTGTGTATATAATTCCTGTTTCACATGGAATGTGGTAGTTTGGCACGGTGCTTCTTTTTCTGAGAGTTTGTGCAGCAGTATGCGTACATATGTCGTGCCTCCTAAGCACAACCCTGGTAGCATCGCTGTGCCAGGGGAGCGTGATAACCAGGTGAGCAGGAGGCCCGGGCACCCCCTGCACCCTCTCCGCAGCCACGCAACCGCGCAGCAGCACTGTGTGATGAAGCGTCAGCATCTTGCTGGAGCGGAGGACAGCTTGAGTTTTTCTTTTAAGGCTGCTAAGGAAAGAGTTTCCTCTATCAAAAGCGCAGCTGAGGTGGGCCACAGGGTCAAAAGCCAAGCTTTCTAGCTAAGTGGGGTGACTTTTAAAGTTTAGTCTTCCGATTGCTTCTGTAATTGTTGACTTGGCGCAGGCCAGGCCCACCTGCCAGACCTCTGTGGGCTTCCCATGCAGCGGTGATTTCGGGACAGGGTCACCCGTCACTGAGCCTGGTCAAGTGTGATGCCCAGGGAGACTGGGGAGTCCTCAGCCTGCCCACCCTTCCCTGGATGCCTTGCCTATGATTTTGAAAACAAACCTGGGGAACGGGAAAGGGCAGGGAGCATCTCGAGTCTGGGGAGCACGGACAGGGCGCTCAAGGGTACCTGAGACCCGGCCCTCCAGAAAATCAAGAGCATCCACAGGGCTGAAGCCAGGAAAGGGGCCGGACTCTCGGCCGAACGGGGAACCACAGTTACGCCTCTTTCCACACGGGGGCGCTGAAGCACGTTTTACTGCAGCAAAATGAGTTCATGCGAACCCCTGGATGGTGCACAACATTTGGGGTCACCCTGCCTCTATGGTTTCCTCCGGGGCGGGGCCGGGAACGGGGAGCAGGCTGAGCAAAACGGGAAAGTTGTGGGCAACCCGGCGACCCCGCCGCTCCTGGCGTTTGTAGGAAGGGAATGGAGTTGGCCCGGCTCAGTGGAGCGGAGGGCGCGCTTGGCGGGTTCTCGGGAAGCTCCCGCGGGACCCGAGGTGGCCCTTCCTTCCCCTCTCGTGGGCAGGGGGTGGAGGGGGTGGAGGAAAACCGTCCAGGCTGGCTTTGGGGCGGACAGATTGGCGCCCCCAAACCCTGCCTCCGAGCCCCTCCCCGATTCGGGCCGCCTACCTCCCGCTCCAAGCCCGGGCTCCTGGCGCCCAGGTGCGCGCTCTCTGGCCGCAGGGGGCTCAGCTGTCGCGGTTCCAAGTTGGGCAGGAAACGCCAGAAGAGCGACGCGAGGGGGCGCGCTCGGGGGCTCGGGGTGCTCTGGGCGCCCCGCACATTGTCGTCGGTCCCTCTGCTCACGCTCGGCGGTGACCTCGGCTGGGACCTGGCGCCCAGCCCCTCGCTGCTCCCGGCTCCCGGCGGCCCGGGCACCTCCTGCGCCTCTCCACAGCCCGGACTCTCGCGTCCCCTCGGCCCCCCCAGGTCCCCGAGCCAAGCCCCCCAGGTTCCCAGGGCCGCCGGGCGCCATTGCCCGGCCGGGCTGCGGAGGGCGAAGGAGGAGCTGGGCTGGGCGGGGGCCGCGAGGCGCCTGGACGCGGGCTCTGGGTGGTGCCAAGGACGGGCCTGGCTTCCTCTCCCTCCGTCGTCTGTTTCCCGGTCCCTTCGATCGCTTTGATTAGGCCGTGCGTGGCTGTGGCAAGAGGTTAAAAAAAATAAAAAGCAGTGGAGAGAAAGCGCACACGCGGCGGCCGGGCTCGCGGAGCCGCGCGAGGGGGCGCAGGAGGCTGAGCCGGGCGGCGGCGGCGCCTTCAGAGCGGCGCGGAGCAGCGGCCGCCGCAGGCTCGCCTTTCTTCTGCCGCCTCTCCCGCCCGCCGCCTCCTTTTGGCTTTTTCTTTTTCTTGCCTTTTTTTTTTTTTCTTCTCCTGGAGGGGGTGGGGCGCGGGCACCCGAGAGACAGCGGAGACGGCTCCATATTCCGAGCGCCCCAGAGCGAAGCTTCCCGGGCACCGGCGAGCGCGCGGCCCGATGGCCTCGCTGTACCAGCGCTTCACCGGCAAGATCAACACGTCGCGCTCCTTCCCCGCGCCGCCGCCCGAGGCCAGCCACCTCCTGGGCGGCCAAGGCCCGGACGACGACGGCGGTGGCGGCGCGACCAAGCCCCTCGGCCCGCAGGCTCCGGCAGCGGCTGCCCGGGAGCGCGGCGGCGGGGGCGCGGGCGGCCGGCCCCGGTTCCAGTACCAGGCGCGGAGCGACGGGGACGAGGAGGACGTAAGCGCACCGCGGCGGCGGGCTGCTGGTGGCGGGCGCGGGGACTGGGTCCGCGGCGTCACCTCCCCTGCTCCCTTCCCCCGCTCGGGGCTCGCCGCGTAGCTCTGAGTGCTTGGTCGCGGTCGCCCGCCATCCGGAGCGGGTCTAACCGCCTCCGAGGGGCCAAGAGTTGGTGGCCCATGCGAGCCCCGTTTTGGAGCTGCGTGTGCTGGGGTGTACTAGGCACTTGGACTCCCCGGATTCGCTAATGTCTGCTTCTAACGCAGGCTGCTGTGGGTCCGAAGAGGGAATTGGATCTGCCTGCGCTTGCGAGTTGGCTTGTTGTTTTTCAAAAAGAAAAAAAAAAAAATGCATTGCCCTGCTTAAGACCTAGACACCACGTCCCCTCCTGCCACCTGGCACTGCATTCTATCCAGGCATCCCCTCCACCTCTCCACTGTGCCCTGATAAAAATGCCACCAAACACGTTCTCCTCCAGTAGTGGTGGCAGTGACCTTTTCTGGAACAATATCTAAAAGTACCAACTGGGGCCACATGTCCTTCCTACCGAGGACCAGCACAGTTGTGCTGTGGACACCAGGTGGTGCCCAGCCTCCACTCCCACCCTTGGGCCAACAACTCTTCGCAGACTGCCTGCTGCCCTCAAAACTTCGCCTGGAGTAGAGCTCTACTCTTCTCCTGGCAGCCTGGGTTTCCAAGGTTGGATTTGCATATTCCCCTAGTAAGCCAGGACTCCTGCCAGGGGCCTGAGTCCCTTCCAGAGGTTGAGAGTTCAGGCCAAGCAAGAGACAAAACTTGTTTTTCTTTGGGACTTTCTGTTCTCAGGGCAGAGAGACAGGTCACAGAGTAGCTCGCAGACAGGTTGGGCCGGCCTGGACTCCAGCAGCGTGGGCTGGGTTAGAGGAGCCCCTTCCTGCGCCTTTGAGCAGCCTCCCTCTTGCCTTCCGTGAGCAGTTGTGTGGCCTTAGAGTCCCTGAACCAGCCTCCTGGCTGTCTGGCGCTCCCAAAGGAGGCAGTGGGGCTGCCTGCACCAAGCAGGAGGCTGGGGCCATTACATGGGGCTCTTCTTGGGTCACGCTGCCCCAGTATTGGCATGTCTTTGTGCAAGAGTTGTGTTTGTGTAGAGAGTGGGTGTTTCCACAGAGACAATCCTCTATCTCCAGGTCCTGCAAAGCCAGCGAGGTTCTGCTGTTACTGGTAGTAGTTCCTGTTTTGTTTTGTGACAGATATGGTGGAACAGGACGGAGGTGGGACTTTGTGGGAGGTGTGCTTTGCACACTTAGGCACACAAACGGGCTTGCACGAGATGTTTAGTTCTGACTTGGATCGTTTGCAGGGTCCCTTGGTTAGTTAGACACCGAAGAGACGTCACTCACTCCAGGGAGCCTGGTCCCAAGGGAACTGCCTGCCTCAGACATCCGGTCCAAGGAAGGAGGGTTCCGTGTGGGAGGATGGAGCAGGCTTGGGGACTGTGCCACTACTGGGGGTCTGGGAGAGGACGGTGGAGCTGCAGTGCAGACAGCAAGTTGCGTGTCTTGCCTGAAATCTGACTTAAAGGGATGGAACTGAGGACGTTTCCACTGAGAACAATGGAATTTCCCCTCAGCAGGCTCTAGGTGTCGCCAGGAGACAGGAGAGGCCTAAGCCGGTCTGGAGCCTTGCTTCTTTTAAAAATCTTAGCTTGGGTCATCATGTCATGTGTTTACTTCTTTTCATTTTCACATGGGTCTAGAGCTGCTTCTCAGAGGAGCGAAAGTGTTGCAGTGGAGAGCAGGCCAGGGATTGGCAAGCGCAGATAATCTCCACTGGTAGAGCTCTGAACAGTAAGTAGCTGGAATTTAGATTAAGCCCTGACAGTAGTGTTTGTTTCCTGGAAAATAGAGAGCTGCATCTGTGTGTGTGTGTGTCTGCGCACATGCATGCACACGTGTGGATGTGGTGTATGTAAGCATAGTATACTGTGATGTGTGCAGACTTCCACCATCTATACATGTATGTGTGGTGATAATCTGCACATTTACAAAATAACGGTTTTCTACAACGCAGCAGACAGGTACGATTGGCCAGTCAGGATGGACACCCTGAGGGCTGTAGATCGTGGGGTTATAATGTGGATGCAATTCATGATAAGTAAGATTTTAGCTATTTTGTCACAAAAAACAAAAACAGCTGAATGAGGCTATGAATATATGCATTTGCTTCTCTCTGATAACTTTTACACTATCACATTGCATGCCTCCAGTGGACACAGTAGGAGACAAGGAAGTTTAAAATGTCTACTTAAACTAGTGATGCAAGGCTAACTGCAGCATCAGGTAAATATTTGAAGTACTTTTCTTGGAAAGTTCTTCAAAACTGGGGAAGTAATAGCCAAAATTTTAGTGCAAGTGATATGTACACATTGAACACACCACCATACTTCCAAGAGCAAATGTTCTGATCTGCTTAATAGATACACTTGAAGACAGACAGCGAACTTCAAAACTACTTTGTAGATATTGGGCCTTGTGAAGATCAAAGAATCTCAAGTAATCATTTTCCAGTGCAAATTTAAAACTAAATATATGTGATTAGGAACAATTTCGTATCATGTATGCAAGTTGGAATTGCTGATATCTTGGCAGCAAAAAGTGGACATTTCTGGTTGGGAAGCTCAGCCCTTGGGCAGGAGCTCTCCGTTGTGCTGAAGGCCTCTTGCCCGGGTTCTGGAGAAATCTTGATCCGAGCAGTCCTGATCCCAAGGCTAGAGGCTGTGTTGCTCTTCTGTGTCCTATCAGTCAGGGCAAGCAGTGCCAACACATGGAAACAGCCTCCTCACCTTGGTACTGGGTTGATGAGAGGCATCATAGCACCGCGACCGGCCAGGTCTTCTACATGTTGCCTTTCAACCCAGAGAGGGACAACGGGAATGTAATTCTTCGTGTCTGCACTTGTGTGCGCAGACATGCGTGTGGAAGGCTGAAAATGAGTAATTTCTCTGCGAACTGAATTTAAGGTAATCACTAAGGCTCACACAATGAGATGTAAGCAAGTCTGCTCAGATAAACCCTATGCAGTTGAAAATTTGGCCAGGAAATATTAACACGTGTTGTATAAAACACACACACTGCAGTTTTCAGAAAGGGACCTTTGGCCAGGGTGGCTTCCCAGGGCAGCTTACCTGGGTAGATCTTATATATCTTTGATTTATAAAGTTATTTGCTTGGGCAACTCCTCTGAGGAATCAACAGTCATTTTATTTAAAACTCCTTGGTTTAAAAATAAGTTGAGTCTTGAAGAACACATGACTTGAAATGACTTTCAATAGCATTGAGTAGCTTCCTGTTGAAATGAACTGTGACTGGCTTCCCAAACTTTCTTATTCTCCCACTCAAATTGGTAATTTCTAGAAAGGCTTGTAAGACTTGTGTCCTTCCAGAGAAGTAGTTTTGCTGAGGTCACATAGTGTCCCCTTTTAATTTTTTGTGACAAGTTGTTTCCTATCTATACAAGGGGCTAAGAATGGCAACAGCCTTTTAAAATACCAAAGTGACCAAAATGGGGATGGAATGACAAATTACTGCCCATGGTTTCTCTCAGTGTGGCAGGGCCTATTTTTTCACTTGTATGTCTTTGGCCATCTTCTTTTTCTCTGCCTCTACTGCCCATTACTATTATGTCCATGTCCTTTCAATATGTCCTTGGGATTTGTCAATTTCATGATTGATTCCTTGTCTGAACAAGTATTGTTATATGCTGTGTGCTTCTACCATCTCTGGTTGAAGTGTTCTTAATTGAAATTCACTTTATTAGAGAAAAGAATGAGCCTCTCAGCTGTTGTCTGGTCCCAGGACCCTCACTGTGGGGCCCTGGCGCGCTCGCCTCCAGAGCGGCAGTGGGCAGCCCAGGTCGCCTTGGGGCCTTCACTGAAGATGTATGCAGCGCTTCTGTTTCACTCACCCTTTCTTTAGCATCGCCTGCAGTGCAGGTGCCAGGCAGGTGCCCGATGCGTGTGTGCTGCTGCTGTTGCTAGTAATATGGCTCCTTAATCGCTCCTGCCCCACCAGCTCTTCGTGCTCTCCCTGCGGGCAGACCAAAGACCGTCTTCTCTGGTCCCCCTCCCAGCCCTTCATGCTTCCTTCTTTTGTTTCATAACTGATGAAGCAAAAGGCCTGCTCCTCACCCCCATGGTGCGCTTCGCAGCCCTTCCTTCCTGGTCTGTCATGGACACAGGCTCATACCCTCTCCCCTCTTCACCAGTGTCCACCATGTCTGATATCTCTGTCACCTTGATGTCATTGTAGCTTTTGCTCTCAGGGACCACTACCAAACCCTAAAACTTTTATATCTCACATCTTTTCATGATGCTACATGAATTCAGGGCCTGAATCTTTCATTCTTTGAAGTCAGCCTTTCAAGTCTTTGGCAAATCATTCCCTTCCCCTATCCTTTAATATTTTGTTCTCCAGTATTTTATTCTTCCCTTTTCATACTTCCTTTGTAGGATGGACTCTCTCTCTGTGCCCAAAGGGAACCCAGTATGTTCAGCAGCTTCTATGTTAGAAGCTTTATTACACTGATATATTTAACATTTTTCTGAAGATAATTTGCTTTCATATTGTACGGAATTGGGGAATTCTAGAATTGCAAAGACTGCAGGAATGGCTTTTCCAAGCTTTTGAACTATGTCAGGCAACCTACTAAATCATTTTTGTGATGGTCATAAAATATCCACATGGAATGCATCACTAGCTTTGTCACTCCCCCCCCCCTTTTTTTTTATCTGCAGGTCAAAGTAAGATTTCAGTTTGATTCTCTTGTTTCTACTACTCTTACTCTCACGTTTCCCTCTTCTAGTGCCACATACAGCGCTTGCATTCACGTCCAGCCAGTTCTGAGCCTTGGTTTCCTTCCTAGAGTTATTACCCTAGATAAGCATCAGCCCCAGCACTGACATTCAGCGATGTCCCAATAACACTAGATCATTGTCTCCACTGGAGACAATAGTTTAGTATGTGAAA